ACACAATCAGATGAGTCAACATTTGGTAGAGTTTATAACACTGACGTGTTAATTAACCAATTAAGATTATGAGCCGACAAGATTAGTCTCTCAGCTATTAATTAGCTTTCATGATCAATAATGGTATTATTGAAAATATCAATGATGTGAATAAATTTATGACGATTATTGTCTTATTTTGATTTGGTTATTTGTGATTATTTGTAATAAAGAAAATAACTCTTATTGCAGTAGTCTGTACTGACATGCCATGATATACTTGGAATCAATTAATTATTTGACTTGTTTGAATTATTATTATTTCAGAAAATTTATTATTGTGCGCATTATGTGGGTCCTGACTATTTTTAAGGACATTTCATTATCCGACGAACTGTTAAACCGGATGGCAAAATAAACACTATTATGCAATACATCTTTTAATAATTCCTCTGTCTCTTTCGGCTACGATGTGTTCCTCGACAGTTCGACGATTATATTCTTCACTTCCATTACAACGCGTACACCAACACTGATATCGAACCGACATCATAAAGAAAATTAGTTTAATTATAGAAGAGTGTGTCTCAAATAACTTAATGTAGCGCCCGCTTCCACAATGAAGTGATTTGACGAAATTACATGGGATTTATATAATATATGAAATTTCATGTCCTCCCACCAATACTCAACTATGTACTTTAATCTGACCGTTATGGAAACCATCTATATGTGACGATTGTTAAATAAGTTTTGCTAGGTCTAATTAATTATTAATGAAACACTGTTCAAACCCTCACGGTATAGGAAACCATCTATGTGATGATTGTTAAATAAGCTGGCTATATAACAATTATTATTGAACAGCTAACATTTTTTTGTTTATAATATAAATATAATTGCAAAATGTTTATCTATTAAAAGTTGCAACGAAACAAGTACGGGTTACGTACATTGTACTAATTTCAACACGCAAAACAATAAACTGGCTATGAGATACGGGTTGCGCGGTACTCATTTCAACACGCAAAACAATAAACCGGCAATGGGTTACTGTTTACGTGGTACTAATTTCAACCCGCAAAACAATAAATTGTCAGAACAAAAGAATATATTTAGACATACGGTAAATTTAGCTTATCGCTATATACCAGGATATATTCAAATTGGGGCCTGACTGCTGGATACTTATAAATGACGACATTGTTTTCACCTTTTTACGACAGATTAGGGTCCATAGTTATATTTTATTATGCAACTTTATAAGTGGTGTGACTATAAAACACGTACTGCGTCTTATGTTCATCAACAAATACAAAAGACGCATAGAAGAAACAGCCCCGTACAACTCCACATATAAAGACCTATTTGCGTAAAACACACCGGCGAATGAAAAATCGCACAGTAAAAACATTTTTCCTTCCCAAGTTTTGATTTAACACTCGCGCGTCAGATAAAGTCTGTTGGTCCTTGATTATACCCTTTTGGCGCAGTTATAACAACTATCGAGAAAACCAATCAAACAATACACACCGTGTCATTCGTTTTTAACCCGTCGGTTAATTAACACACTCAGTACAGAAAACGCACCGTCCCAGAGTTTTTCACCCCTAGCGATAACTAACTCACCTTTCAGTCCATTTTTTACCCTTGTTAATTAACACACCTTATCTAGAGATTTTAATCCATAATGAGGAGTTATAATCCGAATTTTATATTTTTTATCCAGATACGTAGGAATTAACCTTTTGGGTTAGATTTATATATGGCAAACGTACAGATTAACCCTTACCTATTTCTCAGTGATAGGTGGTCGATCAATTCACTTATTCTTGTAAGGTAACGGATAATAAATGAGATACAAAATGATTTAATACGTAAGCATTGACATAAATCCATAATGAGGAGTTATAATCCGAATTTTATATTTTTTATCCAGATACGTAGGAATTAACCTTTTGGGTTAGATTTATATATGGCAAACGTACAGATTAACCCTTACCTATTTCTCAGTGATAGGCGGTCGATCAATTCACTTATTCTTGTAAGGTAACGGATAATAAATGAGATACAAAATGATTTAATACGTAAGCATTGACATTAACAATGTCAGAAATACTTGTATTAAAATGAGTTGGTGCATTACCATTTTTTATAGGCCCACATTGAAATTTGGTCGTATATTGTGGTAGCCCCTGTCAGTCTGTCTGTGATTTCCAAAAATTAATATAATTACTGTTAGAGTTATGGTCCTTAATCTTGTGGATCCCCTGGAGGCTAAAGTTAATATCCAAGTTATGGCCCTTGATCACTTAAGAAATCTAGAGGCTAAAGTGAATAAAAATTTATACACAGTGTTTCAGGTCATGAGACAAACAATCGAGACAAATTCTAATGATTTCTAATAATTACTTAATGGGTTGTTACTTGAAATTAGATTTTAGTGTGTTGTAAATGTCAGACCCGTCAACCCCTCAGAGCTGAAATGCAGTAGGGTAGTGTTAAAATGCAGTAGAAACCATGATTTGGCAGTAGAATTCCAAAAACGCGAAAATTCGCACTTCCAAGTGTACCGTAATTAATTTAGAAATGATACACTGAACTGCAGGCCCAACAATACAAAAATTGCATTAAAAGGGTAACAGATAAAATATACACAAGCAATGGTAACCATATCTAAAATTATTTATGTAATTAAACCAAAATTGAATATGTAGCCTACAAAAAGAAATAATTAGTAACGTAAAAAAAATAATAATTAAAATTACCAGTCCAGAGTTCTGGCAGTAGGCCTAACCAGTACCACTTTTCTTTTGTTGTAACTTAGCATGATTTTAAAATATCCTTGTGACGTGTGTTCCCCATACCAAGAGTTTTTGTCAGTATTGTTTTATGTAAGATTATATAGTATTTCTACATTAGAAATAGAGGGAGGGGTGGGGCGTAAAAAATTAGTTTTGCAAACAACTTAATATTGGTATCGATTTTATCATGCCCCCCCCACCCATGGTGATTATCCTCTCAATGTACGGGATTTTTTTCTCCCGTGATTTTGTAAATCTGTTTTTATTTTATTTGAGAGAGTGTTCCATATAAGTCAGAATCGTCGAGACGTATTCCCATCTTGAAATTAAAGTTCCAGGTTGTGTTGCATTTGAAGTATTGTATTAGATGTTGTACGTACGTACGCGCACAAACGAAAATGTCAGCTATTTGTTTAGTTTATCGCTACGCATTTTAAGAGTATTTGGAACACGTGCCAATAATTATATCCGCTTTATTGTCCCCCGCCTTTCGAAGAAAGCAGGGGACTATTAAAATGGGTTCGTCCGTCTGTCTGTCTGTCCGTCTGTCTGTCCGTCACACTTTTTGGGACACAATAACTCTCTTCCTAATTGAGCTAGAATGTTCAAACTTGGTGTATGTGTTTATTAGGTCAATGCCTTGATGGAGTTCGAAGATAAGCAATTTGATTGGTTGATGCTTTGGGACACGATAACTCTCTTCCTAATTGGGCTAGAATGTTCAAACTTGGTGTATGTGTTGATTAGGTCAATGCCTTGATGGAGTTCGAAGATGAGCATTTTCCGCTTAGGGTAAGCAGAGATAAGCAATTTGATTGGTTGATGCTTTGGGACACGATAACTTTTAATTGAGCTAGAATGTTCAAACTTGGTGTATGTGTTTATTAGGTCAATGCCTTGATGGAGTTCGAAGATGAGCATTTTCCGCTTAGGGTAAGCAGAGATAAGCAATTTGATTGGTTGATACTTTGGGGCACGATAACTCTCTTCCTAATTGAGCTAGAATGTTCAAACTTGGTGTATGTGTTGATTAGGTCAATGCCTTGATGGAGTTCGAAGATGAGCATTTTCCGCTTAGGGTAAGCAGAGATAAGCAATTTGATTGGTTGATGCTTTGGGACACGATAACTTTAGTTCTAATTAAGTGAGATTGATGAAACTTGGTGTATAGTTTCATTACAGTAATACCTTGACTAAGTTTGATAATGAGCATTTTCTGCTCAGGGTAAGCCGAGCGATATACGCAATTTGATTGGTCGAGACTTTGGAAAACAATAACTCTCCTACTTTGATTGTTAGACTATAAGTAAAGATATACTATTTGATTGTTCAATACTTTGTAAAAGATAATTTGTGATAAATTTATATGTGTCCTCTAATTATTTTCCTATTTCGGCGGGGGACATCAGCCTCACTGTTGGCTTGTTAACTCTAAAATAGGTTGAAAAGAATTTGAGAACAAATCTCTTAGCTAAATTACACCTTACAATATCCCAAATCGATGTTGATAACCGAAAGTCGCTTCCTTTAGTTCCATAGTTTTGGCGAGAAAATTAAAAAAAACTCTTTTGTTTGAAAATCTATTACCGCGTAGTAGAGCGGTACATGAGGCCTTTTTGCGGCACTTTACCACATGATGCGGTAGAGTTGACAGGTCTGGTAAATGTTTTCATTACTGACAAAAGAACAAATATATGACAACCCTTCTTGACTACATGACGACATGATATGCTGTGGGCATATCTTTTATCTATCTTTTTTTACATTAAAATTACCAAACAATGCATCTACTAACTACTGTTTAGAAGTTTGATGACAGTAGTTACGAAATGAAAATAAAGAAAATAGGTTGAATAATATTTTATTTTCTGTTCATTCATATTATATTTAATTATAGTTAATATAACAGTGTAACAAAATAAAACAAAATACATTAATTATCAAATGATAATTTCCTATCCAGATGAGGTAGGAAATGCTTATTGAATTAGAGTTATTGGGCCAATCAAAAATTGTGCTCTCCATTGCGGCCTAACAAAAGCACCCAACGATTACTGGAAAATTGTAACCTGTGTGAATAATTTGTCCTGTTTTATTAAAACTCATATTAGAAAGGCAGACTTTGTCTTTGTTAAGTTTTGGATTTAATTCTAAATCTGTAAACGTTAAATTTCGTCCACTTGGAATAAATCTGGGATTTGTCTTTTTTTTTTATAGCATAAAAAGGCAGAAAGGCGTCAAAATCTTGAATCAAGTTGTGGTGTTACCTTTAATGAACACACTGCTGCAATGTTCTTCACCTTATTAGATTATGAAGGAACTTATAAAAACATCAACAGTTTACTTCGTTCTTTAACCAAGTCAAAGGGAGAAGTAAGCAAATAATGTCCTTTTATAACAAAAAATTCTTCAAAATATCTTCTTGAATAAAATATTTCTTAGCTGGAAGACTGAGCATTCAATTCTCATGGGTGACAATTTCATCTAGAGGTGACCAGATATTTATTAGAAAGCTCTTAATATATATAAATATAAAATAAATAGATATTGGTTGGAAAATATGATATACATCATACAATGTATTATTACAGACTGCTGTACTCTCTTTGACCTGAAAATGTTGAATATTTTTTTTTTTTCAGGCTGGTACTTTAGTTAAGAGAGCATTGCATGAATTAGAAGCTGTGATAATTTATGCTGAGGCTTTAGGTGTTAAATTAGAGGTACATATGATACATTGTGCTTGATAAAGATGAGAGGATACTTCTCCAAACCATGTGCTCATATAGTAAATCCAGTGATTGTGTCACATAGAAATTTTATTCTGTTTATACCACTGATCTTAATTGGCTTTTTTTTTTGTCCGCTTTTGCCGCATAATGTTCAATCAAGCCGATTGTGGTAAAACAATGAACCGGCCACTGTGGTATCATAAATCAATCTACTTTCGGCTAAATTACAACAAAATAAAATTACAACAAGTTAATTATTACTGGTTGATTAAAAAGGCAATCAACTTGCTTGTCGGCTACAACAACAGTATACCTTTGTGAAAATTGGCCATGTGGTTCATAATCCGAGTAATTTGCACATTGAACGGTAATTTTGATAATCCAGTAAAAAAATAAAACAAGCTTGCTGATTATTCATAACAGGCCCAGTAAGTTGCTTTTGTGAAAATAATCCGCGTGGCGAATGTAAACAGGATCTCGGCATTGGATTGCGAATCTTGGGAATTGCACGCCTTCAACGCTCCGTATGAATTAATCCAGGTAGATATTAAAATATTAATTGGATCATACATTTGATGGTTTCACTGACCAGTTGTTAGTTAGATTTAAATCTTCATTGAAAATAATCCCCTGATAGAACACCGAATACACTGAGAAACAGTCATTAATAATATATCTTTTCGACCGAATCTCCTATGCCAAATTCCGATGACACTTGACATCGGTTGTAATTAGGTCAATAAATAAATGATGCTAGCTTTAGTTTTAAATAGCGTTTACCGTAATGAGACAAAGAAGCCTATTGATTTTCAACGATTTCCGATCATTACTGCCAGAGTTATGTCCCTTGATCACTTCAAAAAATCTTGTGGACGCTCTAGAGGCTAAAGTTAATATCCAATTGACTTGAAATTTATACGCAATATTTGAGGTCATTGTCAGATACACTCTCACCGTCCCATATAATAACTTTTCATCTTCAACGGAATTATCAGTGAAATGAAATTCGATCATTTGTCTGGTATCGCTTGTTACTTCAGTCAGATATATAGAAGGACAACTCGTGTTTGTCATGTTTGCCGTCACTTCCCGTTTCTTTACGTGCTTGTTACACATCTCTCGTAGCAATGATCTCTGTGTTAAAATTATATTTGGAATGTATTTAACCAGTTCTATCACATATGTAATAATGACTGACACCAATATTGTCCTTTAAGAAGATAATTGCTTTAACTATCACCATTCCATAGACAGATCTTGGTGTAAGTTGATGTTAATTTGTATTGTAGATTAAGGTGACAGTTGGTTTGATTTATAATCCATTACAATATAGTGGTATTATATTTCAACTTATGTATGAACATAGAAAAAAGAAGAGATTAGTAACGGATGTATTAGCTGCTGGAGGAAGATATGATCAATTAGTAAGTAATTTAGCTTCACAGTTGATGACAATGCAGCATTGTATAGAACTCTTCAGTACCTGAATCTGCTACTTTTACTGTTAGTTATGACCCTCAAATTCACATCAATATGGCTCCCATTTACATCTACCTAGGCGAGGAAGCTGCAAAGTCTTGACTGACTGAAAATAAACCTAACCACGATGTTCCAATGGCCATGCCTGGTCATTCAAAGCATCTATCCAAAAGAAACAGTATGTCATCTATTCAAAGAGATATTTTAGTGTTTTTAGAAAAACAAATAAATTTTTATAAAATACAGAACAGTAAGAGTAGAATTTCTAGATCTGTGGACTAATCAGTATTCTAGAAATATAAGATAAAATCAAACAGAGATCTCACTTTAAAATTTGGTCTGTAGATCACACTTTAAAATTTGGTGTGTAGATCGCACTTTAAAATTTGGTGTGTAGATCACATTTTATAATTTGGTGTGTAGATCACACTTTGAAATTTGGTCTTTAGATCACACTTTATAATTTGGTCTGTTGATCACACTTTAAAATTTGGTCTGTTGATACTTTTCATACTTAGTTATTTTGCACAGTTTGGTCAGACATATTCTGAATATGTAAAAAAAAATTGGCATTATTTTTTATTGATTTCCCAGATTAAAAAATCTACAAAATTAACTGTTTTTACGCCCACATGAAACAAAGAAGCCTCAGCCATTTCTGTTATTAACTTTTAGAGTTATGGCCTTGTTTCACTTTGTTGAACCTTGTGAACACTCTAACGACAAATTTATCTTCTGATCTAAATTAAATTCATATGCATTTATAAAATTAGTAAAATGAAGACGGCTATAGAACTTCAGCAATTTCTGTTAATAAATGCTAGAGTTATGGCCCTTGTTTCACTATGTTGAACATTGTGAATGGTCTAGGGACAAAAGTTATCTGATCTGTATGAAATTTATAAGGATTAATTAGATTAGTAAAACAAAGAATCTGATTGAATTTCCGCAATTTCTGTTAATCAATTCTACAGTTATGGCCCTTGTTTCACTTTGTTGAACCTTGTGACCACTCTAGTGGAAAAAGTTATCAACCAATCTGTCTGAAATTGATGTGCATTATTCAAATTAGTAGAACGAAGAAGTGTATTGAATTTCAGCAATTTCCATTCATTACCTTACGGCCCTTGTTTCACTTTTTTTAACCTTGTAAATGCTCTAAAGTTATCATCCGCTCTGTATTAAAGTTATATACATTAGTGAAATTAGTAAAACAAGGAAATCTATTGAATTTCAGCAATTTTTCTTAATTACTTCTAGAGTTACGGCCCTTGTTTAACTTTGTTGAACCCCTTGTGAACGACAAATGTTATCACCCGATCTGTATTAGATTCATAAGTATTATTTAGATTATTAAAACAAAGAAGCCTATAGAATTTCAACAAATTCAATATATAACTTCTGAAGTGGCAACTCAACGAAATCAGGTTTTCTGGACTCATGACCATTGAAGGCGTAATCTTCATGATGTAGTCCCCACCTTGGTATTTCTGTGGTAGTTACCTATTCCTTGTTGATGTTTGCGGAGGTTCTGGGGAGTCATCTTCTGAACTAGGTAAATGATCAGACTGGAGTTCCACATCACTTTCATGAGTTTCTTCCACATCCTCACTCAGCTCATGTTGTCTCGTGGGGCTAGCTGGCATCGAAGGAAATCTTCCACGATCCACAATCACAACATCGTCATCTTCTTCACTCGACTCTACCTCTGGTTCTTGAATGACAGCCGTCTTCCTCCTGGGTTTAGGTACTGGTGCAGCACAATCAGTTAAATCGAAAGGAATGGAACCAATTGGAAGAAAGTTGTTCCCATGAAGCATCCAAATTCTTCCAACACCATCTTCTCGTTTACCTCATAGACTGGTATATTGGGATTGGATTGTTGTATCACTGTGTAGACCTGTTCTTCAAATTTATCTGCGATCTTGTGGCGTCCATCTTTAAAAACTAACTTCTTTACTAATACTCTATCACTTTCTTCTAATATTGATTCTGTTCCTCTTCTATCATAGTTCAAATGCCTGATCTTGTTCTGTCTTCCACCTCCAGACTTTTGGCTGTTATGTTTTACCTTTTCTCCCCCTGGTTTTCGAAGTAGTGGTCCCTATCAATAGTTCATTCAGTGGTTGTGCTATCTTTGAAAAGTTCTTGATGAATCGCCGATAGTAATAATAATAATAATAATTTCGTCATTTATAAAGCGCGTTAATACTGAAGAAAACAGTTTCTAAGGCGCTGTTGGTTTTTATATTCACTGATTATTTACAGATCAAGGTTTTGAAATAGGAATGTTTTGAGTTGAGATTTAAAATGGCCCACAGACGGTGATTGTTTTATTGATTGTGGTAGTCTATTCCATAGAAAAGGACCAGCATAAGAAAAGGCACGTTTTCCAAGTTGTAAGTTAATGGCTGGAGATTTTAGATGATGTTTTTTCTGCGAACGGAGATTTTTGCTGGTAGTATAGGGTTCTACAAGACTTTTTATATAAGATGGAGCTTGGCCGTTAAATGCTTTGAAGACGAAGAGGAGTAACTTGAACTTAATTCTTTGCTGAATTGGGAGCCAGTGTAAAGATATCAATACAGGGGAGATGTGTTGATGTTTTCTAGTTTTAGTGAGGAGTCGAGCTGCTGAATTTTGAACATGTTGTAGTTTGTTAATCTGATAGTCTGGTAAGCCATATAGTAAACCGTTGTGGTAATCTAGTTTAGTTGAGATGAATGCGTGAATGAGCTTTTCTTTATTTTCATAATTGAGATAGCGTTGGATCTTTCCAATTCGATGTATATGATAGAAGGCAGTGGAGCAAATACTTTGTATGTGATCTTTAAACGATAGGTTCGAGTCTAATATAGCACCAATATTTCGAGCTTTATGGGTTCCTGAAATTATTTCTTTATCAAAATTAACTAACGTTTGATCAATTTTTCGGAGTTGTTGCTTGGTTCCAATTACTAGCAGTTCTGTTTTATTTGGATTTAATTTCAAGAAATGTTCTGTCATCCACGCAAGAATTTCTGTGAGACAAAGTTCTATATTTTGTATCGTAGAATGTTGAGAGTCTATGTCAAATTCAATATAAAGTTGGGTGTCGTCTGCAAACAAATGAATATTTAGCCCATAGCCTTCAGCAATCTCAGTGATAGGCTTTGTGAAGATAATAAAAAGTACAGGTCCGAGTACTGAACCCTGCGGTACACCACAGAGCATTGTATTATCGTCGGATGTTGAATCTCTAATTCTGACAGCTTGGGTGCGATTGGTTAGATATGACTTAAACCAGTTAAAAACAGAACAACGCAAACCAATTTCACACCATAATGCATCAAGGAGATCCTCGGTATCGAGCATATCAAATGCTGATAGATCTAAGAGTACCAAGATAACGCATTTCTGTTGATCTATAGCTCGGTAGATATCGTTGGTGATTTGGAGTAAAGCAGTTTCTGTGCTGTGGTATTGTTTGTAGGTAGATTGTAATGGATTTTCACTGTTATTGGAATAGATATGATCATTTAATTGATGTAGGAACACACTTTTCTAGTAGTTTTAAAATATAAGATAGGTTACTGACTGGACGGTAATTCGACAGAATATCTGGGTCCATGTTTGGTTTCTTCAGTAATGGTTTAACAATGGCTTTTGCAAGTTCCGTGGGAAAGTGACCAGATGAAAGAGATGGGTTAATAATTTCGGATATGATGGGTACAAATATATCGATGTGTTTTTTCAAAAGATGTGTAGGTATAGGGTCTAGATCACATGTTTTAGAAGAGCTTTCTGATATGATAAGCTTAATTTGCTTACAAGTCAGATTGGTGAATGATGACCACAAAGCTGTTGATTTACTTCTATATGACAGTACAGGTTGAGCATTTGATTTTCTTTGTAATATATCAGATCGTATTTTGACTATTTTATCATGGAAATAAGAAACAAATTTATTTGCAAGGTCCTGTGTAGAACTGTACTTCGGGAGTGAGTTTGAGAACTTGTTTCTGTCTAATAAATGATCTACGACTTGGAACATTTTCTTTTGATCAGTTCATTTTTTTGAGAAACTATAAGTGATGCAACACGCTTACACTCCGCCTTAAATATATCTTTGTGGACTGTTAATTTGGTCCGCCGCCATGTTCTTTCCGCCTTGTGTCTTAAACATGCATTATGCAAGAGCTAAATCTGATTATTGCAAGTCTTAATTTAGGCTTCAGATGTTATAGAAATTATAAATTAGATCTTTATTTAAACAACAAGACCAAAATCAACTCTGTAGACCCATGGATGGCTCGGCTACAGCTCGGATTTAAATAGGATTTCACTAATTGATTAAATCAAATAAGGGGTAACCTGATGAAAATACGTCAGTTAGATCAAGGCTAAATGATAGAGTGTACTTAACGAGGCCGCTGTAAAGCGTTTCCGTATGCCATTGAACACTTTTCTTGATAATCGAGATATGTAGGTGGAGTTAACGCCTGTCAATCAAACTTTCAGCGAAGGTGAAGACACATTTCGCTACCATTTCTAGGCAAATATTACAACGATGATAACTATGTTCAGAATAAAGTAATTTGACTGAATTTTTCAATATATTCTTCTTTCATCATCTACTTTTGAACTGTTATAGCAAGAATGGCCAATTCTCTATAAAAATCTCCCATAACGTATCTTTAATTTTCTGGCATCCCTGATTTTGTCATTAAACCAAGGATTATGTTGCTTAATGGCCATGTTTCTTGTGATGATGGGTGCGTGTTGTTCCAATATCGTGGATGTTTCGCTATTATATATATGGAGCAGTTCATTTAGATCAGAAGTAGAAAGTGAAGATGTAAACAAACATGATTCTTTTATATCGCCTGCGAACTTGGTGTGATCAATGTACTTGATCTTTCTGTATTATATGATAGAATGAGCCATTGTCTCAGCTGAATCACAC